GATGCCATTGTACGGTATATGGGTAAAATCCTGATATTCTGTCTACTGTACGCTGAGGAGTATTCTGGCAGCTCTCTTATGCAATCCAAAGATTCCTTGCATGTTCCCTATATTTTTGTGCACGGTTGATCGAATTTTCAGGCCATGCCGATCTTGATTGACAATAATTCATGCAGTGAGTAATGTCATGTGTTGCAAGAGGTAGACCTCGATTCCTTACAGAACAGAACTAACGAAAGATATTTTTAACAAAATCGAACAAGATTCATTTCATAAGCTGCATGCGCTATTGCCTGAAAGAAATCAAACTATATACCAATACCGTAAATTTGGGGAAGAAATACATGTTTAAGGTGGCTCCCTACAGTTCTCTAAAATTCTAGGTATTTTGAGTAACGTTCGCTTTGAACCGAATTTATATTAGATACACTTAAGACAAGGCAATATGATCATTTCCAGGAAAGTTCAGAAGCTGTGTGCTGTCCATTTATGAACAAATTAGAACAGTGTTCGTGTTGCCATGGCAACCATGATGTTTAATCTTTTGCACTTTTATTGTCTAATTTCACAATAAATTGACAATATCTATATTTTCCTTCGGTGAAGTTTTCTGAATTTTTTTTTGAAGATTTATGGCCCATAAAGGAAAAACATATCAAAATTTGAAGGGAATTTACAAATAAGTTTTCGAGATATTCGTGAATGACGGTTACAGAAAAAGTTATTTGTAGAATTTCTTAAAATTTGGATATGTTGTACCCCTCGTCTTGTATAACAAAAATACAAAGTTTAAAAAAATTTCACCGAAGAAAACACGAGAAAATCATCGCTAAAATCGGCGTGGCCAGCATGAAAAAAAATCGACTCGACATGAGCACGATCTGCGCATGCGTGTAAATTGTAGCGTGTGATTTATAGTGATTTCAACTTTTTGGCTTACAATACATACGAAAACAGATATTTCTGACTTGTTTGACATGAAAATAAAATATTAATCTTGAAAATACTAATAAAAAAACACTATTATACGCATTGTATTAAATCCAGTGTTAATTTACATTTGTTTTTGTTGTTAAAATCGGTGTGAAAACTTTTCAAAACATCGAACTACAAGTTTAACTTTTCATATAAAACAACTCATAACTGTTTTATTTGATTTAGCAGATAAAACGATACCTGTGAATTGAATTGATTGACAGAACTTACATAAGTTTCGGCGACAGTTCACTACTGTTCAAGAGTTATAGAAGACAGTATCATTTCAGTTTGACAGTTCGCAACACAACAAGTTGAAAATTTTGAGCAATATGAAAGACAATACTGAACGTAAATACGTAAAAACACACTAAAAGATTGGCTAAACTAGTTAATAACATACGTACTGTTCGAATTCACAAAAAAATTAGGATTATAATGAAAAACTGGAGCTTTCTTTGTAGATAAAAACGCCAAAAAACTTCCCGCGGCTTGTTTCAATATTTTTGCCGAACAGTAAACACGACGATTCCACGCGCAGGTCGCGAGGATGAAGTCTGATCTATATAAATCGTATTTAAACTGTACTAACTGTAGGGAGCATAGATTCCAGATCTGTTATCGATCTGTTTTCTTATATATAGTATTTAATGAAATTCAGCCTTTGCATGGGCTGCAATGTTAATTGTAACAAAACTATCTATATATATCTCTTGCATATTTGTCTCGCTGTCATGGATCATATACAACGATTGAATGTCTCATTCTGTCTGAAACTTGAATCATGTTTGATCCAGCTGTATTGCGAATAGTGGTGTGATTTTCGCGCATTTCTAACATTATGATATGTGAACTTAACAAAATGTCTCAAACAACCTTAATTGCATGGACTCTATTAATTTCATTTCTATCCCCCGACATTCTAGAAACAAAAGATTGTGTGATCTGCCAATATAAAACAATGGAAAATGTAATACTGTAGCAGATCAACACAATAAAAAAGACAAAGCTTGGTTGCATAATGTTCAATTTTCATGCATGTATGGAGTTTTTATCATTAAAATGAATATTGGAACTGAAGCTAACATCAATTTATTTTTCAATATAATTATAATATATGGTAAAGAAGCGAATGATATTTAGTGAGTTTATGATGTAGATAATCGGGATCAGGTATGGAATAACTGCAAGCACCTTCATGTTTTTTCGTGAATGTTTAATGAAAATTGAAAAAAAAACCTTTTAGAATATATTTCTCTACAATGGAGCATGTTCCAAAGATATGATTGAGTTTTTTAAATACCTAAAATAGCCATGAAGCAGGTTCACGATATTGCACACAAGGTTTCTATAAAACAAAAAGTCCACTTAAACGTGCAAAAGAAGAAATAAAAGTGACATGCATGCACGTACTTAATTAAATATATGTGTATTAATTACATTGAAGTGAGAGGTTTCAATGTTCAGTTTTTCGTAACGAGAAGTAAACTAAAAGAATCAAGCGAAAATGACCCTCAATGCAACAACAGATATACGACTTTTAAAACATTAATCTTTTCTTCGGACGAGTTTGCTATTAATAACCAGATCTTCATGTGTTGGAAATGCATGGCTTCCTGATACTTTTTACTACTTTATTGAACAGTGTTGCAACATGAACAATTTCAAAATCGTCTCAACTTAAGAACTCACTGGGTTACTTTCTTATTCTTGTTCAGCCTGTAACAGACTTAGTTGTTGTAAACGAAGAAAGCATGATTTATTTAAAACGATCGCCAAAGTTTATCAGCCTTTCCTCACAGGCACAACATCAGTTTGTAAGAATGAATGAACGATCGTTCAGTGCATTGAAGAGAGTCAAGAACTATCTTTGTAGTACCATGTCAGGAGATCGCTTGAATGATTGCATGTTGCTTGCGGTAGAAAGGGACTTGACCGACCGAATTGATCTAAAGAAACTTGCAATAATAAAAGTGGTATATGTTAGAAGACAGGAGGCAAAAAATTGGCCATTAGTTTATGGAAATAATTCCATTATGTGCATAATATTATTAACATACATATTCCGTAATATTATTATTTAATATTAAAATATATGAATATAATATTCCATATCATCAATATCACAAGAAACAAAATGCTCGCTAGTTGTTAGTAAACCTACAAATAACATGCAGTACATTTCCGATTTCTGCATTGAATGCTTGCAACACACAGTATCTTTAAGAAATAATATTTATTATAATGGAACATCTATATATCTGGTATATAGACTAAATGTAAAATTAATAGCTTCAAAGGTGAAGTATTAAATATTGCAATTTAGGACGCCAATTAAAATTATTGTTACATTTGAATGCGAAATGGACTCCATACATTATGCAGATTGGATGAGGTGTGATATAAGATCGAAAGAAAACTATTTTCAGGTAAAATTAAAGATAATCTTAAAAATCAGGTAATATTGGCCTGCACCCCCGCCCCCGGCTGTTTTCACTCGCAACGGTCCTGCCTTCAAGCAGTCTTCTCTAATAGGGCTTTGCATGGTGGCGTAGTCGTCATAGCAAGTGCCTTTCGCCTCTGAGTTCGTGGGACCGATTCTCGCAACGGACTAATGTGAAATGAGTCAGTCAACGCTCTGCTGAAAGTCGTGGCTTTTCTCCGGGTGCTCAGGTTTCGTCCCACACGGAAAGTTGATTAGGGTAAACACAGTTAAGAAAGTAATATCACAATTGTTGTAATGATAAAATAGTCTGGGCTAAGTAAGATAACTAAATAAGCGTATAATACTTGATGTAAAGTGCATTTGATCATATCCACATGTGAATTAGCGCTGTAGAAATGCTAATCTTAATCTAAATATTCTTGGCTTCCTTTGAGTATACGATATACGACTGCCTACGTTTTCATGCAGGCCATGTCTTGATTGTTATCGACCTCGTTGTGTCAAGACTTGGATCATGTTTGATCCATGCAGCTGTGGCTGTGTGTAGCGGTGTGAATGTTACGCGATTATAACATTATGTGATCGTAACAAAAGTCTTAGCTGAAGTTAATTGGACCTTACGTTTGTCCCATTTTATTGATTCTAAACAAAATAGTCTGCCTGCATCAACCTATACAAAATATTCTAAACATGCGTATGAAATTGCAGCAAATGTTGCAACGTCGCATAACGTTAAGGTGTCAATAGCAGAAGAAATGAAACTGCATGAGAATAAGTCAACTTCAATATAATGCCAAATATTTCTATCAACATCTCAATTGAGGTATATAATCCTGACAAAATTCAGCCAACAAAAACACAATACACCCTTCTTGGATATTTTAATCCCATGCATGCACCCATTGTCGTGTTATTGCTCACAAGCAAACTTAAGAGAACGAGGCTTTTTGTGCAAGGGAACAAGCAAAGCAGGTTAATAAACAATTCTTAATGTGCAGCACGCGTGATATACTTTAATTTTCCCCGGAATTGTAGTTCCAGCAGGGAACTTCTACCATAGGCAGCTAAGAACTCGTCAATTTATAAAGTGACAGCTACTACATGCATGATCATAACAGACTAATAGTCTTTTTGACAATATATGCCCATTTAAACGTGTAAGAGACCAGTATAAAAATGAATTTTCAACTAAAATATGAAGTCCGATATTGCTTAAATTCGCATACATAATACAGTTAGAAGTTTGAAAGTTCATTTCTGGTAACGAGAAGTACAGGAAGAGTTAAAGAAAAATATAAAAATGACTTAAAATGCAACGACAGACACGACTGTTAAATTATGCACATTTTATCATATGAAATTTCAATCTCTAACTAGTCCTCCGAACGAGTTTGTAGGCTAATTAACCAGATTGTCGCAAGTGTTTTCAATGGCGTCGTAATACTTGTGACTATTTTATTGAACAGTGTTGCAATACGAACAATTTCAAACTGTTCTCAACTTAAAAACAAATTGTGTTATTTTCTTGTTCTCGTTCAGTCGGTTGTAGACTTGCTTGTTGGAATAATTGGTCTGCCTTTACTCACCTTTGTGTTGGCAAGTAATGCAAAAGGTAAATATTATAATATCCCTGTTATATATAAGAACGTTTTTGATTGGTTGAAATGCGTGTTGAATTAATAACTCGATTGAACATGGAAAAAAAAGGGAGAAATTTTTGCCTTTTTTGCTCAAATATTTCCTCGAGAACTTTTATAAAATTTATTTACTTCTGACACATGACTCATTCATTTTAACCAAATCAGCTAAGTTTAAAACTTGTATACTCGTGAATCAACTGTATAACTGTGGCATAGTCAAGTTGTTTTTTTTGAGAAGTTACGCTAGCCTTTAAGTGCCCTCCCAACTTCTCGCGTTCTCGATCGATTAATTCAAATATGTATAGGACGATTGCATCATGTTCGTTTTGTTTTGAAGCAATCTGTGTACGGCCGTTATACTTGAGAACTGCTTTAAGCAGATTGGTTAATTCTAGATCCCATTGTTTAATATTCCACTGGAGAACATTTTCTCCTTATCGCAAAAGACCTGTTCGAGACAGCTATATATATATAAGTTAAGCTTTACAAAGGTTTTAATGAATTTTAAGTTTGGATTTTGTTATTTTGAAGGTGATGCGAATTGCACGGTGAGTGTTCTGGCAATATTAGCAGCACATCTGATAACTGGATATTCGATGATTACTCTATCTGCTCTGAATTTCGAGAGATATTTTGGAATCATCCATCCGTTGCTTCATCGTACAAAACTAACGAAAAAAACCCTGCTTTCTTTTGTTATCATTGCATGCGCTGTACAAACGGTAACGGTGCTATTATTTCTTATATAGATAGAAATATAAAAAGATTAAAAATAGCCATATTTATACTTCTTTTTCTGATTACAACCGCGTATGTTTATATCAGAATCTTCTTGACTGCCAAGAAAAGGTCTCCTTTACAAAACATACCAGATGCAACCGCAGGTGAAAGTAAAGAATCAACAATGAAGACAAAGAAGGATAATCTTAGAGAAATAAAATTAGCAAAGTCATGCTGTATTATTGTCTTTCTGTTCATATTCAGTTTTTTACCGCTATCAATTGTCAATATATTTTTGGCAACGCCGTTAGGAGCGGTGAAGTTCAGAATTATGCAGGCATGTTGTGTCACAATCGTCATGCTGAATCCAACTCTCAACTCCGTCGTATTCTTCTGGACCAGACCTTTACTCAGAAAAGCAAAGAAAATCTTTCGAAAGATTTGTTTTTAAATATTTGGTTCTTCTTTGGTTGATTGATTCTTTTCAGGCAGCTTAAGGTGGCTCCCTAGGGTTTTAGTCCCCGGAGTTACGTTACGAAGAATCTCATCGCGAACATTGGGATATGATATAAAAGGTTTCCTCAAGTATTTGCAGTGTTTCTGCACAATATAACAGCACTTCTGAATATGAAGATGACTTAAATAGTAAGCCGTCCACAGGTGAAATGAGCAAGGTCGAAACTCCACAAACAAACCGCTATAAAAAAAAAGAGATTTGAACGAGCGTTTTGCGAAAACATCGGACGTCCGTACTCGCACGAGACGATGAATAGTGTCGGTGAATTGTCCCGTATCAGTGAATAGTGCAAGGCTATTGAACTCAACGCTTTGCGTTTCGGTAAATATCCTTCCACTATTCACAACCACTTCGGTGCATGAATAATTGCTAAATATCAAATATGTGAATAAATATCTTAGTAACACGAGACAGGGTATTTTACCTGCAAATTTACTCCAACACAGATCGCGTTATGAATTCGATGTTACGAATTGGCTTAAAATGTATGTAGGGGTTCTGTCTACTGTTGAAGAGATTTGTAGATGAATTTCGAGTGGAATATTTATACATCGGCCCTCTGGCAGGAATCGAACATGCGGCCCTGCGATTCCGGTGCAGCGCTCCATCCCCCTGAGCTACAGAGAGACAGATTTCGAGCTCTAACCATAGGTTTATGTATAAATACTAAGGTGATGCCAATGTACGGTGTATGGGTAAAATCCCGATATTCTGTCTACTGTACACTGAGGAGTATCCTGGCAGCTCTCTTCTGCAATCTAAAGATTCCTTGCATGTTCCCTATATTTCTGTGCACGATTGATCGAGTTTTCTGGCCATGTCTTGATTGACAATAATTCAGTCACTAATGTCATTTGCTGGAAGAGGCACACCTCGATTCCTTACACAACAGAACCGAGACTCTAACGAAAGATCTTTTTAACAAAATCGTACAAGATTCATTTCGTAAGCTACATGCGCTATTGCCTGAAAGAAATCAAACTATACCGTAAATTTGAGGAACAAATACATGTTTAATGGTTCAGTGGGTAAATCTGATAGATTCCAGAAGAGCTTGTTAACTGCAAATGCTATATTGTACTAGTTAGCCGTCTTGACATGTTGCGAGCAACGTTACATGAAGTACAAATTGTTTTCCATGATCGAGCGTCCTCGGGGTCATAGGATTGGACAAGAGCGTTTTTGTAGTATGCCATTAATATTGATTTAAATGTACTGAGAGGAAGAGAGAAAGTTGCAGATCATTTACTAGAATATTCCAGAGCCGTGTTGCTCTACTAAAAAAGATCTTTGAAAAGTTGAAGTTTTACATTTTCTCGTAATAAACTGCGTGACATTACTGTTGTTGTTTCTTGTTACGCTCGTCAATCGGACAGCTGGAAGAACATCTGTATTCACAGTTATTATATGCCCGTGACTGCTTTAAAGAAAAATACGAGGTCCAAGTATTCATGCCAGTAGGTTAAGGGGAGGAGATTCAGTTTGACCAGTCTATCTTTGTATGATTCAGAAGAGCGAAAAGGTAAGTTCAGAATATACTTTGTGGCACGTCGCTGAACCCTTTCAATCTTTCGAATCAGCTCCTTTGACTGGGGTGCCCATATTTGTGTTGCGTATCCAAGATGACATCTGACTAACGTGAGATAGATAGAACGTCTTATACTGAAGTTCTCGTGATAAATCTTGTATTACGCCGCACAAACCCCAGCATTCTATTTGATTTAGTACATTGTTCTGAAACCTGTTTTACCCACGTTAAATTATTTGAGATGTAAACCCCAAGGTCTTTTTCGTCAGTGGTAACGGCAAGTGAGGCTCCATGCATGTAGTACTCAGAGACGATTGGATTGATTTTCCTTGTAATGCGCTGTGCCTTGCATTTGGTCTTGTTAAAAATCAAGTCCGTAGATGTTGACCAAGAAGTAAGGCTGTTTAGGTCTTTCTGCAGCGTTGAGTGCCTCCAGGTGATCTTATGGTTTTATAGATCTTCGTATCATCCGCAAATGTTGCTATTTCAGCTGAATGCACAGCGTCAGGTAGAGTGTTAACATATAAGAGGAACAAAACTGGTCCTAGAATTGAACCTTGTGGTACGCCTGAGGTGACTTGCAGTGTCTGAGATGACACGCCTAGAGCAGTAACTTTCTGAAGGCGGTTGCGTAAATAAGACTCAAACCAATTCAGCAACCTCCCACCAAACCCTAGATCACGCAGTCGTTTAAGCAGCTTTGGGTGACTGACTTTGTCGAAAGCTTTCGACATGTCAAGGTAGACTGTGTCGACCTGGCCACCATTATCGAGCTGGGCCCCAATATAATCAAGCACATCAACTAACTGTGTCACACACGAACGACCAGCGATAAAACCATGTTGGCATTCAGAAATTAAGCCAATAACATAATCTTTAATTGAGTTAAAGAGACAACGTTCCATCACTTTTGACACCATTGATAATAACGACATTGGTCTATAGTTCTCGACATGCTCATTGTTCCCTTTCTTGAATACTGGGACCACATTAGCGGACTTCCAATCCGCCGGGAAGACACCCAATCTTAGCGATTTATTGAATAATTCGCAAAGAGATGGCGCGATTTCATGAGCTGTCCTTTTAAATTTGTTGCAGGGCTTTCATCAGGTCCGGTGGCCTTACTAGTGTCAAGGTTGCATAGTATTTCCGAGACTTCTGTGGTGGTAAACGTCACTTCCGATAAAATTGGATCACCTGTTGTATTGCGGTCAGAGCTTTCGCTGGTCAAAATCGTGTATGTGAGAGGGATAAAAACCGATGCGAAATACCGATTAAATAAATTAACGATCTTATCTGGAGTGTCGGCATAATTTCTCAGGTTTGCGACGACGGCGGGTTCACAGAGGCCAGTTGCCATGAATACAGTTTCAGGAATATTTCGATGTTTGGATTTTATTTTTAGAATGGACCAAAAGCGTTTTGGGTTGGTCTCAGTTCAGGCTCGATCGCTACAAAGAATGAATCGCTCAAAGAGTTGAACTTCGCCTAATCATGTTTTCTATGTATTGGATGATAGGGGTGTGAGGGGGTTCTCCGCCAGGCGATTGTGCTATTCTTGAAGCTCGATGACTGCATTTCTTGCGTTTTCTGAAGCAAATTCGTAAAAGAATTGCACTAACATTTCTGACAATTTGCTATTTCGCTAAGGCAATTCTTTAAATTGAAAGGGCACCTTTGCCCCCCTTGCCCCTCCTGGTAAAGGGCAACGGGGGCGGCTGCCCCTCCTGCCCCCCCCCCCCAGTTCCGGCGTCGCTGAACACGACAACAGATACCGACAATAATCCCAACCAAAACGCCCAAATATATAAACAGGATACTAACAACACTGGCCGTGAATGTTTATAAAATAGATTTAATATTCCTTGGAATAGGAAAAAGCTTTGTGGAAGTAGATTAACGAAGCCGAACGTATCGGATTCGATAGGTTCCAGGACGTTCTAAAACAGGGCGTGTTTTACAGCGTCCTGGTTACGCAGTGCTCGTAACGTGTCGGATTAATTCTCATATCACTTCCAGAGCGGAGTGATTTTTAGATGTAACCAAAACGAGTATTTGATATGGAAAGTAATCCACTGCCAGAGTAATCCGGTAATGTGTAACTGAGGGCTTAATGACAGCAGGGGCAGCGCTAGACCTCTTTGAATGAGGGGTGTAAGTAAATTTTGCCGAGTTATGAAGGCAAATTTTGCCGAGTCACTACAACCACTAATTAATAGACAGATTTAGATCGAGGACGCGGACGTCAAAGATGACGTGAAAATGGCGTGACATATCCATACATGGACACAACACGCCATTTTCACGTCGTCTTTGACGTCCGCGTCCTCGATCTAAATCTGTCTAAGCAATTTTCGGCATACAGTCGTACATCAGGCATATGAATCATGTTTCCTGTCATTCAGGGCCGGCGCTAAAATGTGTGTGTGTGTGTGGGGGTGCACCCCAGTAATAAGGTAGTCGGCAAAATATTGAATCCCAGTCGGCAAAACATGGATTTGGATAAATAAAACAGAACACAGATAAGACAAGGGTCAACATCGATGAAACGTTCGCCAACTTGTTTGATTTAGATTATTAGAATTCCAGAATTCTACAAAATTCTTTACATTTGCAACGTGTCGGGCAGCTTTAATTGTATAATCCCGGAAATTTAATAATAGTCTATAATAGTCTAGACTAAAATCTAAATAAAATATTATGAAAAAGGTGAAAGTTTAATAGAAGAAAAATTACAGCTGGGGCCAGTTGTAAAGGTAGTTAAAGTTAGCAACAGTTAGTGCGAAAGTCAGCCAATCAAAAACGCGTATTTTAGAGTTAACTACACTCTTTAAGTGGTTAAAAACGCAGTTAAGCGTTTTACAGTATATACAACCGTAGGTCAACTTATTAACATTTTAACCCCTGTGTCTGTGATTATTGATCATTTTATGATATTTGCCATACCTCAAGAAACAAAGAGACAGTGTACAGTATATTGTTTTTAAGCCCGTTTCCACTGTTTACTTGTACCGAATTTAAATACTGTATCAGTATACTACTACTAGGTTACCATTTGGTACTCTATGGTGAATATACTGTCCACAATTGGGTTTGATATTGTAATAAAGCTATCTTATCTTAATCTATCTATATTTTTATCTGTGTTTCATGTCAGTTAAATATTGAGCATACAGTAGTGTAAAGCTCACTGAGTTTAAAAATCAACCACAATGCAATGGTGTTGATGAAAACAACTTACATGTCTTATATATAGTGTGATTAAATATGCTGGCCATAAAGGATTAAATTTTATTCAACTACAGTGTGAAGTAAATCAGATCACATGCTTTATAGCTTAGATTAAATAATCATTTCATAAGCCAGTGGTCAGATTTACTTAAATGCAAAAATGCTGTTTACAGACAGTTCCGCTGTAAAAGATCATTTAATCAGCTACAAATCAAAGAACTGCATGTTTACAAAAATATGCATTAACTTTATTCGACAGGAATTATTGTGATGACTGTTATGTAATATATGAACAACGAGAGCAAGTGTTTCACCGGGATATCCAAACACGAGAAAACGCTATCCCGGTGAGACACAAAAACGATATCCCGGTGAGACACAAAAACGATATCCTGGTGAGACACGAGCTCGAGTTGTTTATATGGCTTCTCAAATGAATCGAGACGTAACAGAATGTTTTCGTTTGCTGATTGGAATAGAATTCTTAACCAAGCATAACGTAATTACGAATTCTATTCACGTAATTTTGCATGCGTAATTAAGATATTTGATGAAAACGCTAGTGACTTTCATCAAGTATCCAAATGGCATCTTGTGATCAAATAGGTGATTATCATTGGCTGAATTGCTCATGAATTATTAATGAATTTGAGAATCCTATATAAAAGTTTGTACTGTATTATTAGTCGTATAAAATACTAAATCAAAATCAGTTCAACATACCGTCCCTGACAGACTGCACATAAACAGGATTATCACCAGTGACTGTCAATCCATATCCCTTATCATCTCGCTGCACAATAACACATCTTTGAATCAAATTTTGACCTGGAAGAATAAAAATATTCCAAGCTTATATTTACAAAGCAAATTTTAATTAAACATATATTTCTGGTATTATAGTCTATTTTGAATTAGATCTCTAAAAATCTGGACATTTTGAATAAAGTTATTAAAAAAAGATTTTTTTGAAAAATTAGGTTTCCAACTATAGAAAAGGCTTTTATAAGAGACCAAAAAAGAAAATATTCTATTGTATTATAGTTAGTGATATCCCCCACAGTGACATAGCCAGAGGGGGATGGCAGCCCCCCCCCCCACCAAAATATTGGGCCCCCCTTGCCAAAATATTGGGGGGCCCTTGGGAAAATGCTGGCATGTGAATTATATTGTATTTCTTGTAATGGATATTTTATATCTTATTATGTTTTAAATGTTCTGGATTCGTTTGGGATTAAGTAGAGTTGTTATGTGTTAAATGGTTATTTAAAATCACCAAAAACATTAAAATATATAACCTGAAAATGGCACTTTACCAACTCTAGAATTTAAAAATTTTCCTGGGGGAACATATCCCTGGACCCCCATAAAAGTTCATTGTGAGGATTGGGAGTTTAGAGGATTAACCCATTTAGTGCAGTGATTCCATCTTCTAACACTATGATTAGTATTCTCCCCGCAAAATGTTTGAAGTCTGAGGTCCAAGAAATGGCCAAATCCTGCATTCTGGAAGTCTGTTAACAGTTTTATCTATGTATATTTCATTAATATTCTTTATTTGGGCCACCTTTATCTGGGGCCCCATGGCAAATTGCCCCTCCACCCTCTGGACAGCCTTGACAGCAGCTGCAGTTACACGACTATCTATGACAGCATAGTTTCATATTCGCATGCTTGCAGGAAAGAAATAGTTCCGTCCTGGCAAATGAAATGCGGCTTAGGCGTGACATGTGGGCATGCACCCATAGAAGATTGTATAATCTAGGCTTTCTAAAAGGGCATTTCCTGCAATGTGCAGGGACATTCTATATAATTCTGAAGATTATACACTAATTACAAAATAAGTATCATTCACTTCATCTTGCAAGGTCATAAGTATATAAAGAGATCTTTCAATATTCAATTGGTAGGAGACTTTGTTCATTTGATGAACCTTCAGTATAATATTAGTGTGGACGTTCGATAATGTGGCAGTTATCACTGCACATTTTACTTTTATCACTGCACAAATTGGTTATCACTGCACACTAAAATTAGGTATGCTCAAACAATAGCTAGGGTAAATTGGAAAATGCTATTGGTGCATGGATTTGGCAAAACTACAATACACATGCACGTGACAGTGAAGGACTATCTTTATGAATAAACGTTGACTAACATAGATAACAAGTCATTCTAATGAGTTTCCAAACCATCTATTCTATTAACTATGATGGTACCAGCAAAAAATAAGTATGCAGACAGCAACAGTTCTGCATATCTACATCGTACTTGGCTGAAAACAAAGAAGTACCAGACCGTAATATTGGCGTACCTCTGGTACGTAAGTATGTGAATTATCGCACCCTGAATATGTTAGGCTGCATTCAAACTGGTCCCCAAAACATGTTGAGAACAGTGCTGTTGTCGAGTATTACCTCTGGAAGTAGTGCCCTTTCTTGGGAACTGTCCCCAATTTCATTTGGAAGCATTGTGTTCCAACTAGGCGTCAAAACAAGCAACAGGCACCCAGTCTGAACACAGCCTTACTGTCACAAATATTTTACCCAGGTATGCAATGGTCTTTATGAGCCAAAAAATAAACTTTGGTCACTATTTCAAATAACCATTTGTCTGGCAATGTTTTAAGAATCTATTAATTGTTTTAAGAATCCACTAATTGTTATTTGGTAAAAAAGGTAAAAAATTAATCCAAGATCATGGCAAACAGTTCAGGGCCTTTTTTAACATACAAGCTGCCCCCCCCCCCCCCCCCCCTGTGCCCCCCCCCCACGAAATCACATTTTGCCCCCCCTAGGAAAAGTCCCTTTTTCCTAAATGTATACCAAAAAAACAGCGAAGAATAACAAATAAATAAACGGAAAGTAAATTTTAGGCTTTGTCTTTTGTCCTTGTTTAACAAAATCGATCTAAATTGTTACGTTTTTCTACCACTAAGTAATGATAAATTATTGTTAATAATTTTTTTATTTTTTGGTTGCTCAGAATGCAGGAAAGAGCATTTCCAGGTTTCAAATTCGAAAAATTTTCTGGAGATTATGCCCCCACACACGTGGCCTTCGGCCATTGGTATCCCCCTCTGATAAGTATAATGATAAATTACGGTTAATTAATATTCTTTTTTACTTTTTGTGCATTTTTTCCTTCTTTTATTTCAAATACAAGTATAGTTAGCATAAATTTTAGAGCAAATTTGGATGCTCAGAATGCAGGAAATTGCATTTCCGTGTTTCAAATTTCAAAAATTTTCTGGGGGAGTACACCCCCACAAACGTGACCATTGGGATCCTCCTCTAATAAGTAATGATAAATTATGGTTAATATTTTTTTTTTACTTTTTGTGGGTTTTTTCCTTCTTTTATTTCAAATACAAGTATAGTTAGTATACATTTTGGAGCGCATTTGGATGCTCAGAATGCAGGAAATGGCATTTCTGTGCTTCAAATTTTAAAAATTGGGGGAGTACACCCTCCTCATTCATGCGTGCATGGTATGTTCGGCGCACACATGGCCTTCAGACATTGCTATCTCCCTGTAATATATTATCTCACAGAAAGGTCCCTTTTCAAAAAATGCATTGTCAAAATATTTCAAAAACTAAGCAAAATATGAAAAATCATTTACAGTAAGCAGTTTTATATATTATTTTAAAAGTTCTATCAAATGAGACAAACTTAATTTTTATTTCCATATCCCTTTAATGAATATTTATTACAGTCATGACATGGATGGGTAGTTTTAATATTTTACTCTGTCAGATGCTAGATGATTTTACTTGCAAAAGGGGAGAGCACTGGTGCTCATGGTTTAATGTATATTTATACCCAACACTTAATCTAAGAGAATCTTCATTCAACCCAAATTTTATTCTCCCTCCATCTCAATCTAACATGTTAATGCCGTAGTTCTTCACTGTAATGGACATATATTTCATAAATATTCCTGCTTAATTAACATGATTGATAAACTTATTGATATTTTCATGGAAAACATTTGATCAGGTCAAATTAACAAAAGATATTATATCGTTCCATTTTAGCTGTGCTCAATTGTTAAATATTATAAGAATATCTCATGTTACTTTTCCTGTTTATTGGCAGTTGGTGATCAAACATTTCAACATTACTGTATCTGACCCTAATTTACAACATTACTGTATGTGAACACCATCACTAAGAATAAATATGCTGCCATATACTCAGTTATTAAACAAAGTTTCAAAATGGTACAGTAATATCATGAAGAGTGGTAAAGCTTGTATTATAAACTACCAATGGAATAATGCAGTGAGACATGTACATATGTACAAATACTATTTCCAGGGTAATTAAAGATGAATCTAATTTGGTTGATTGTAAAATAGGTGTGTACAATTAAACAATCTTTAAAATGTTATAATGGGCATAAAATACCAATAAAACAGCTGAATTTGATCAAATATAATCACCATAGAAGACTATTACAATGGAAAAAACTGTATCAATACGTCAACATGTGCATGTGCAATGCATACATTCAATGCATGTTGTTGCAAATGGGAATGCTAAGCTACAGTATAGATTTGCACACAAGATATAGATAGTGCTAACATCTGGAAATTTAATTTACACCAAGAATCACACTTTTGTCAATTACAGCATAGTTGCCAAAACATACATTGGCAACACTTTCACAACATAGCAAAAAAACCTAGAATAATCAGACACCAGACTACAGTCACTCGATTTAATATCCACTTCAAAGTTGCAAAACATATCATGTCTAACATAGACTAATAGATGGAGCTTTCCCAACACACATCATGAATTTTACGGAGTCGAATTTCTATGTATATTATTGTAAAATATTTTTGTACTAGTTTTCTTAAGTATAGAATATTTACGATTAAGGTACGATTATCAACAGAAATAGCCGTTTTTTAGCAGGGTTTAAATAATTATTCCAGATACGCATGATATGCGTTGAGCTACAAATTGTGAATAAATCAAACAACAACATAAATCGATCCACAATATAAATCGTCGAGTGCTAGTGACTTGGCAACAAAACACTGGTCGTAAAAATGTCTATAAATGTTATATACATAAACTAATGAAGCAAACTGCAACAATTAGCAAAGAAAGAACGACTTGGATGTAAATAATCGCGTGAAAGGCGTATTTATAAACGGCATAAATTGCCGAGACATTTGAATTATAATGAAATCATTCGAAGGAAACAAAGTTCCAGAAAGTATATTAAATTGCGACATTTCTGGCCATATTGTCGTTCGTTCTGCAATCAGAAGTTTCGATACGGAAATTAGAACGACTGAATTAAAACACAATAAGATGTTGGCAAACATAACTCAGATTGTTCGGCTATTTCAAGAAAATCAAGTGCCGCAACTTGAAACCTTTAGTGATTTTTGAAAGACAAAACGACAGATGAGTGTCATAAAATGTCGTCGAGAATTGGCCAATATAGAACGTCAAAAAAACATTGTATTACTTACTTTCTTTCAAGAGAGAATTCAGTAATATTTCTGTTGAAAGCTTACTCAAATACGAGATTGTTTAACAACCTTATCACCTGCACGGCAGAAATCACTGGAGGAGGTATATGCAGCCGCAGAGCTAGGCAAAATTTACCTCAACGAGTAAAGTATAGTCACATTAAGCGCAATTACTATGATGTGGTTAGCCTAGCAAATCATGTATTCTTTAGTAACACTTTTAAAGTCTAGAACTCACCTGGAATTTCGCTTGGTGTTTGCATTTCGGCTTTGTGAAACTCTTCTGAACAGTTGGTTTACAAGAACTTCACAAGCTAGTAGAAAACGGAAGCGACAATCAATTTCATTACATGCATATGCAAGCATTGCATTGCAGAGTTGATATGCTTAATACTTGCTCCATTCCGATCTATAACGTACTACATTTGAAACTAATATAAGGCGAATAAAATATTATACATCGTGTAGAATGCTTTGCACAAAGCTGTATACAGCAAAAATGTCGAGAGACCGGTAGTATAATTCCAGGTGGTTTATAGCGAATACACACAAGCTAATATTTCATACGGACAGTGTTTATATGAAGAATGTATCACGAATGGAGATTAAGTCTTAAAGCAAACATATAGCGAATGTACATTTACTCAATTAGACTAGTAATACATTTGACAGCATGTATCCGCAATAACTGCTAGTAAAAGACAGAAAGATGACAACAACGTTTACAATTTGTGGCTACGGCAATACTCGAGACAGCAATCTCATAAAATTTGTCAATCTCACTGACCTTTTTATATTGTATTTAAACGACTGTAAACTCGTACATTACCCAAGCCATCTCTTCGTAATTACCCTTCCATTCATAAAGTAAATAATAATCCAGCGCTGCTATGCTGTAATGGTAAATATTCGTGCTAAATGCTGTGTATATTTATTATATTCCAGCAGCTCTCACTGTACAGCTTATCAGATCTGTTATTGCGTCGTAAACGAAGTATAAACGCGCTATTTATTATTCTCCAACAACAGCAACCAATGAACTGTCAATGTGTTGTGTTAAAACATAGTTTGAAAATCAAATCTTGACAAAAGCTGAGCAGAATACGATCAGGAAATCAACATGGCGCTATAAACTGCTGGCTCTTGGGAACAAGACTGCCCAAAATGGTAGTCACGTGACAAAAACAGAGCAACAATTGACGCATATTAGACAGTGACAATGAACTCATAAATGTAGACAGACGGACGCTCTTTTTCACAAAAGAACATCAAATCTTGGCAAAAAGTATTACCAGTAAAGAGATTGTTATATACATATCGCTTATATAAATAGTAAACTTTATACTGCCAAGTGTTTACGCCGCCCTCAATGCTCATCAGTACTCAGTAGTACAAACACTACAAGACAAATTTGGCAGGCTATCTAACGGTTGTGAATTGAGTATATAAACAAACGTTAATTAACTCATATTCCCAGTTATCAAATAATGTTCTAGTTTATGTAACTAAGCTTTAGCATTTTAGTCTACATGAGTATAAAATAAACACATAACTGATAACTCTACTAATACTATATAATAGTTACTTCTTGTCTTGACTCTTGAAAACCAAGACCTCCAATTCAAACTCGATCGTCAGCGTAAATTGATTTCAAATTTATTTTTTTGAAAATGGTTCGATGGTTATATGTTCCGTAGTTTGGACTTATATAACACGGTTAATATTATTAACACCATTAAGGATTATCGTTGGAAACTGAAACAACAACAAGTGAACTCATTAGTAGTTGGCGGTCGAAACATTACACCACGCGGGAATACGCACCGGAATTAGGAAGAGGTTATTTCGCTGCTAGCCTCAGAGTGACAAAACGTAACAAAGCAACGGTTTTACCACAGAGGTTTTACTATAAACACTAACCCTTTCCCAACACCAACGAGCCTGGGAACGAGGTTGACTCTAAGTTTGTTTCTAAACCAATCTTGAAGAAAAACGTTTTGACGAAATGTCCTTCTGAGGTCAGCGAACTAACCTTTCCCGAAGCGCAGATTCGAACCCCACACCGGAAAATTACGAGCACAGATTCTGAAAACAGTTCAATGGTTGTACATCTCGTAGCCTTTCCCAAAGTCCTTGACTTGAGACAAGTCTTTGACTTGTGGGAAAGTCTATATATACATCTACTAGTTTGGACACTTAATATCACCGATTCACCACGTACTGATCTTTGGATTTATCACCGTTAAGGATTATTATTGGAAACAACTTTTCAATAAATATTCCGTTCATAAACATCAACTCATGCAGTGGAACATTACACTGGAATATAATGAGCGCCATGCAGAGTCCCGTATTTGTTTTCAACTTTTATTTTTTCTGAAAATGTCTGATGGTTGTTGTCGGGCATTGAAGTTGTCGTATCATTGATTGTTGAACTGAAAACAACTTTGTTAATAAATATTCCGTTCAGAAACAAGTGAACTCGTTAGTGTAGTGATCGAATTGAATACACCGGTACTATATTATGAGTGCAGGTTCCAACTTTTTTAAAGACTAAAGATTTAAATCTATTTTATGAATTTTACGATATGTCTCAATTGACAAATAGACATATCACATATGTATATTAAAGGAATAAAAAAATGGTTAGTAAATCGTAAATATACACATCTCGAAACATAACTGTAGTACAGTTTTCCACACTGGTTTGAAATAAACAAAGATTGCATGTGTGGTTCAACTGTGAGAAAAGCAACCTTAAATTTGCTTAAAATATTCTACGACTACCACTAACCACTCGAGTCCTCGGGTGAGATTCCTGCGGAGGAGGTCACTTTCAGAAATAACTGGTCATAGACTGGTTGGCAATTCTAGCCAATCAGGACTCATGAAATCCAACCAATTATACAGTTCAGAAATAACTGGTCATAGACTGGTTGGCAATTCTAGCCAATCAGGACTCATGAAATCCAACCAATTATACAGTTGATAAACTGTAACCAATCATGATTCAGCATATCACTGTGTTCGCAGAAGCCCACATTTGCCTTCTTTTTGGCCAACTTCGTACCTGGGCAACCTCGTACCCAGGTACGAGGTTGCTTTTTGGCTTCTTTTGAACAGAAAGTTTTTGGCCTCTATTGGTAGATTTTGGCTCCTATGATCAGTAACTACCACGCACAAGTAAAAGTAACAGTTCCGTGTATAAGTACGTTACAGTTGCCTGGTGTGGTGCATGTGGGACGCTTTAGCTTAGTGTTTACGCATGCGCGATAACCTGATACTCTGGAAGACGTAGCACATGCGTGGGCATCGTCCATTCAGGACGCAGAAAAATATCGCGCCGGTCCCACGAGTTCGAGACATGTGCGAGACGGCTCAGAAGTCACTTCTGAGAAATTTGAAATTTGTATACAAAACAAATTCATATTTTCGCCTTGTTTTCAAACTTTAATAGTGAAAATATTTAAGTAAATATATATTCATTAACATGTATTTGCTTGTCGAAGGTTGAAATTTAAATAATCCATATGGCTAGCCAAGGCGATAAATCGACTGGAAAATATGAAGGCGAACTGAAATCTACACCGTCAATTGGGCCTGCAAGCAAGGCCCGGTATTTTGTAAAACGCCCCTTTTCATAACAACGCCCCATTCGCGCGTCAATTGTCAAAAAAGAACCAATGACAGCAACCCAAATATTAACAAACAAACTCGCATTAAAATGTTGCGGGGTTTTCTCTGTTTTAATATTCAAAATAGAAACAATGTGTAAATGCCTGTGTTAAAACTCCAAAAAAGCAAGCAACGCAGTCAGTAATTGCCAAATTTACAAGTGCTCATTTTCAACTAAAATCGGAACAGGCAAATTAAGACGAATTTCAACAGAAAACCAGTCTCAAACTTCAAATCGTGAGGGAAGTCGTGCGACCACATCAGCATTTATAATGTTGCTTCGCTGTCACCATTGTTATAAATAAATTGTCTTATCAGATCGTGTGTGCAATTCTTGCTGGCGGCGGAAAGTACGAAATTTATTTCAGTTATTTCATTTGGTGAGACTCTACAAAAGAAGAGAGCGTTCAGAGTCCAGATCGTTTCGTTTCAAACGGCAATTTAATACTGTCTTCTCTTTTGCTCTCTCAGCGAAGCCTTGTAAATCGCAAAGTATTTTGAATAGGCGGCTTACATGCAACTGAATCTCAACATCAACCAAAAGATAATTTTCTTGAGGAACATATAACGTATCAGTTTGAAATTAATGAAACTCAAGTAAAGGTTACTATAGTTTTATACCCCATTCGTATTAAATGTTGCTTTCCAACACCTCACGACAAGCAATCCTCATTGGCATAACGGCAAAAACATATCTTCCTTCAAGTAAACAATAAACAGTCTGTTCTTGTTCCATTTGTAATCGAAAAAAGTGATCAATTTTCGAATTTTAAGCATCTAATATAATTATATCGAATAAACACACACACATCAACATGTTGCTTGAAGCACTTTGTGTTTATTGCTGCTTAAACGCTCGAGCTAAATGCTCTTACATAGTAAAGAATAAATATACTCTACTTATTCCAAGATCTGAACCTTTAAGATCTTGGTGTGAAGATGAAAAACCCAACCAGCATAAAACAGGGCGGAGTATTTAAAAGTTCTCTTGAATATTGTCACTCAATAACATTCGTGTTATCAATTCCTTTACAGATTATTAATACGATAATCTAAAACACACTCCTGGGAAAACCGTTCTTCACTACAATGTATAAATGTTCACGTTCGTATTTTACGCATTCGCCTAAATAGACAAGTTTTTAGACACCTCGAATTGCATGCTTGCCGATGGTTTAATGTACTTATTCTTCGACTGTACCGACTTCCATCCTCCATGACTCTGCATTGACAGGTCGGACAAATCGTGGCAACCTGGATCGGATACACCACCACTCTTTAAGCTGTGAGTTCCCAACTTTCTCAAATCCTCGTAAAATACGCCCAAATTCTCTTTGATGATATCTCAAATAGGAGACGTAGATCGGCCGGAGATGCGCGATTACGCCCGTGTTTCTGAATTAACGTTTCTAACATGTAAGGTGGGACAGGATCTTTAGGTTCTCTTGGTCGAGAGAGAATTCGTCGGCAGCCTTCGTAGGTAGATTGAACCAACGGTTGCTCTGTCGGGTAGGGTAAGCGGCCAAAATATGCCCCCAACGAATGCTATACACAGCAGTATCCACAGGTGAAGTTGTCTTGGCGGAATCTAGGAATTGACGCAGATATAACGCCACGAACATAGGCTGAGCAGGAAGGTACCAAACACCAATCTTAGACATGGACCAGATCTTCCATCTGTTCCATCCGTAAGCATAGCGGACTGTCGTATTTCGATCCTTTGCATTTAACACAACCCGAGAAAGCGAGGAAGCCAACGATACAAGCGAAGGATCCTGTATTTTGGAGAAATCCTCCCACACTCCAATTTTAAACTCATCTAAATAGAAATAAGTAAATCATAATAGAATATAAACTTCGAAGACTACATTCGTCACACGACGATATGACAGCACTAAAAGACTGCATTAATTAAATAAAAATTAATTTATTTTTTTTTACGAAAATGTATCTAGCCGTTAAAAGGCAAATGTAAAATTTAATTTTTACATGAACAGGTCGAATGACCGATGAGATGACTTTGTAACCAAAATTTGGTGGCCAAAACCCCTGAAAAAATGCAAACTTGAAGTGTTTGAAAATCAACACATTAGTTGCGTTATCAGCAAATAAACCAAATA